TCTTTACATTTCTTTGGCATCTACGTATCTTTATTATTGCATCTTTATTTTGATTTTTTTTTATTATGGTTAGTATGTATGTTCCATGAATAATGATGTTTTTGCATTCCTTAAATCAATCTTCTCCAGTTTTCTTTCTGTGAAACATTTTCTCCGTTTTCTGTGTGTTTACATTCCTTAAATTAATCTTCCTCCCAATATTTTCTTTGTTTAGTGTTTACGTTCCTGAAATCCATAACATTCATTACTTTTCTTTGTGTTTAGATTTTATGTTCCCTAAGCAATTTTTTTCTTTCCATTCTCTTTAAGTGGTTACATTCCTTAATTAATATTTTTTCCCCAGTTTTCTTTGCGGTTAAAGTTTACGTTCCATGAATTAATCTTCTTCCTATTTTCTTTGAGTTTAGATTTTACGTTCTTTAATTAATTTTCTCCTTCGCATCTTCTTTTAGTGTTAGCGTTTCTTATTTAATCTTCTCTTTCCCATTTTCCTTCAGTATTTACGTTCCTTAATTAATCTTACCATTTCCTTTTAGTATTTACGTTCCTTATTTAATTTTCTCCTTCCCATTTCCTTTTAGTATTTACGTTCCTTATTTAATTTTCCCCTTCCCATTGTCCTTTAGTGTTTACGTTCCTTACTTTTCTCCTACCCATTTTCCTTCAGTATTTACGTTCCTTAATTAATCTTCCCGTCTTCTTTGTTCAGTATTTACGTTCCTTCATTAATCTACCCGTTTTCTCTCCGTTATTGAATTAATCTATTCCTTCCAATTTAACCGTTGTTTACTAATTCTGTTCTTTAATTAATTTTTTTCCCCTGTATTCTCTGTTCCTTTATGCTAATTATTTAAGCGCCTTAATTAATCTCCTACTTCCCGTTTTTTTATTTCATGATGTTTATTGATCACTTTAATATCTATTTTCTTTGCTTATCATTTATTTGCATTTTCTCGTTTCTTTTTATTTAATTTCTATCCCTAATTTTCTCACCTCCTCTTCCTTCCCCTCTCTGCTATCCCTCCTTTTCTCACCTCTTTCTCTTCCTCCTCTTTTCCATTATCTTTATTTTCTTACCTCTTTTCTCCTCCTCCTCATTTCTGTTAGCCCTCCTTTTCTCTCATTCTCCTCTTCCTCCTCCTCTTTCCTATCCCCTCCTTTCCTCCTCTCTGCTATCCCCTCCGTTTCTCCCTTCTCATCCCTCCTTTCTCCTCTCTGCTATTCCGTTTCTCCATCCTCCTCTTCCTCATCTCTATCATCCTTCCTTTTCTCCCTTCCGCCTTATCTCTATCATCCCTCCTTTCTCCTCTTCCTCCTCCTCTCTGCTATCCCCCCCTTTTCTCCTCTTCTTTCTTCTCTTTCCTATCCCCTCCTTTTCGTCCTCATCTCTCATCCCTCCTTTTTCTCCTCTTCCTCCTCCTCTCTGCCTTTTCTCCTCTTCCTCCTCCTCTCTGCTATCCCCTCCTTCTTTCCCACCTCCTCTTCCTCATTCTCTCTCTATGTCTATCTCTCCTACCTCCTCTCTGCTATCCCCTCCTTTTCGCCACCTCCTCCTCTTCCTCCTCCTCTCTGCTATCCCCTCCTTCTCCCCACCTCCTCCTCTTCCTCCTCCTCTCCGTTAACAGTCCTTGAGGCAGAGATGCTGCAACTCCTGGGCTGGCGACGCGGTATGTGCTGAAGTGTCTCTTATCGGACCGGACGAGAGAGCAGATAAGACGGGGCATCACATCCTGGCGTGCCTACCACGTGGGCATCGGGGGCAGGGTATCGGAGGGTGGGTGGGGGTCTCGGCGTCTAGGGGTGAGGGGGGGGTCAAGGTACTAAGGTAGGGGGACTCGAGGCGGGGGTGGAAGAGGGGGAGGGGGGGGGGAGGAGGGGGGGAAGAGGGGGAGGGAGGGGTGGGGGAAGGTGAGGAACAGCGATTGAGTGGCAATCGCGCTCTCTCTCTCATCTCTCTCTCTCTCTCTCTCTCTCTCTCTCTCTCTCTCTCTCTGCGCAATCTGGTTAGTTCATTCAGCTTTGGGACAGATACACACACAGACACGTAATCACGGTCTCTCTTCGTTCTTTTCCTCTTCTCTGTCTCTCTGTCCCTCTCTCTCTGTCTCTGTCTCTCTCTCTTTCTCTCTTTCACTCACTCACGACTGTCTGTCTGTCCGTCCGAATGTCCGTCTTTCTCTCTTGATCACTCATTCAACGACTGTCTGTCTGTCTGTCTGTCTGCTGCCGTCTCACGCACACACACACACACGCGCTATATGCACAAGCGTGTCCGAATGTATACATACGCACGTGCCTGAGCCAAGAGAGCATGTCTGCGCATAAATAAAGTTGAGGAAAGATTATAAAACTTTCTATCGATTGCCTTTACGTACAGTCATCCTTCTCTCTCTCTCTCTCTCTCTCTCTCTCTCTCTCTCTCTCTCTCTCTCTCTCTCTCTCTCTCTCTCTCTCTCTCTCTCTCTCTCTCGCTCTCTTTCCATTCATCCATCCAACTCTT